AAAGGCTAAGAGAAATGAAGTTGTAGAGAAAATTCTCTTTTGCACCATCTATTCGTTTTGAATCTTATCAGTTTGACATTTAGGGTCAACTTTTAAATTTTAATTACAAATTACAAAAAATAGATTGAATTGTGATATAAATTTAATATCAATAACTTTATTTTGGAACGTAATTTTGAAATATTATGTTTTTATAATATGTCCCCATAAAGCACTTTTTAAGCATCCCTTAAAGCATTTTCACCTCACTTAAAATATCTAAAATACACCTTCATTTTGTAGTTTATTACGGGTAGAACTTGGTTTGAGGATATTTTAAATATTTTAGGTGGAGTTGAAGTATTTTACGAAATGAGGGGAGTGAATCTATCTATAAATACATATATTATTGGTTAAAATGTTACATGTATTGAACGCCGATCATATAATAACTTCTTAGAAAAGATTAAAACTAAATATTTGAATGGATTATATATTTTATACAAAGCATACCCATCATAATATATTGTTATAAGGATTCGAATTCGGCTGCAAAATTCTTTTGTAGTCAGATTGACCAGCTGAGCTTAGTCACCCGGTAGTTCAAAAATCAAAATGCTTTGCGATTTCACTCTTAACAACTAAATGGAGGGGAATGTATTCTCGAAGTACATTACCACGAATTAAAATGTGGTGTACCATGGAGTGATTTTTGCATTTCTTATGAGATCGAAGTACAAGAACAATTCTCTTCAACTTAATTTTTATTACTTAAAGAGCACGAAATATTACTTATTCTTACTGAAATTAAATCGGATCAGAAAAGTTCTTATCAACTCATATCATATCAGAAAGATATGCTTCGTATAACCTTAACTCCATTTAGTTCAGAAATAATAATTAGATCACATCTTAAAAAATTCAGATGAGACGAAGAGATCACGTCACAACTTTAACCCGACAGAAAACTTAATAGAAAAATGATAAGTAAACAACTTTTTATTCCAAAAACCCAAAATGGTTTGGGATTGATAGTAATGCATGCATCTCCATTCATTATCCTCACATATGACACAAGAAATGTAAGTACATTGGTAGTGATAAGGAGAAAAGAAAATGGGAAGAGAAGTGAGAGACGACTCTCATACTCCCTCTATCCTAAAATTAACTTCTCATTTGACTTTTCACGGTCTCCAATGAGACACTTTGACCATCAATATATCAATTTTTATCTAAATATATTTTATAAAAATTATATTTCAAAATATATTTCAAAACTATGTTTCAAAATGAATCTATTGCTAATAAATTTATATGAAAATTCAATATATTTTTTTCGTAATATACGATCAAAGTTCTAAAAGTTTGACTACAAAAGTCAAACTGGGAAATTAATTTTAGGACGTACTACCTCCGTCCTAGTGTCTTTGTCCACTTTTGACTTTTGGAACTGTTCAACTAAGCACTTTGACTCATCAAATTCTCTCAATGTGTAAGCCTAAAAATAGTCATGTGTGATCTTGTTTGATTTGTCTTAACATATAGATTATTAATATATAATTTCTATAATTTTTTAATATACAAATTACAAGATAAAATGGATTAAAGAAATGCATTGGATGGTGTGCTAAAAGGTAAGTGGACAAAGACAGTAGGACGGAGGGAGTAGTAGATAGTAGAGTTTGTACACAATTTGATCAGTTCTTTTTCTCTCAACATCTTTATCATATGATATGAGACACGCACATGCATTTGCACAGCCTGTAAAATTAATTTGACACATTCTGTCCATTTCTGAAATGTACCTCCGCCTTTCATTTACTAAAATGTTCGTATCAAAAGGTCAATTTTATGATTTGCATTGGATTAAGTTATTTGTATCCAAAAATTTCTATCTCAATTTATACATTGCAAGTTTGAACCTTCATTTTGTTTCAGTATAATGTTAGGGTGATAGTTCACACAGACACAAAGTGTCAATGCAAATTTTTGTGTCAGTGTGAACCATCAAAATATCAGTGTATACTTTTGGTGTAACTTTGGAGTTCACTTTTTGGTGTTAAGTGTAGCATGATTGTTCTCAACTTAAGAAAGATTTTATACTTTAACATATCCCCCTTACGTGTAAGCAATATTTTTTTGCTTGAACCTTGCACGTGAAAATTAATTTTGTAAAATTGGGTGGCGGTGAGGTTTAAACTTGTGATCTTTTATTCAACAAGACTCAAATTGAAATACTCCGTAATAGAGTAATTATACTCCGTATTACTCAAGGAATAATAAAGAATACAATGAAGTACAAATATGAGATACTCCTACAATAAACAGGAATATGAAGTTAACTAATAATCAAACACTACAATAAATATTACTCCATATTATTATTATTATTATTATCACTTTCTAACATCACTCCTCAAGCTGAACTTCGTAGAGATGAGTGGAAGCTTGGACACTAGATCCTGGAAGCATGGTGACAGCAAGGCCTTAGTCAGCAGATTAATAAGTTGATTTTCAGAGAAAACATGAGACACACATGATTCCAGCAATAACTTGTTCTTGAACAAAATGATTGTCTATCCCAACGTGATTCATAGCTTGTGAAGAAACTGGATTCTTTGTGAGACATATATAGTCGATTGATTATCACTAGAAAAGCTGTGGTGGAGGAACTGAAACATGCTGATCAGTCAATACATAAGTCAGTCACATAACCTCAGATGCTGAAGAATGAGTGCGATACTAAGTTTTAGTAGAAGACGTAGACAAACGAGTATGTTTTTCTCTACTACAAGAGGTTAGGTTTGGTCCAAGGTAGACAAATAGCCCGTAACTGAACGCCCATCAATCATACTCCCTCCGTTCCTTAAAACAATTCCCATTTTTACTTTGGGCCAAAATAAGAAAAGTGTAATTTCAATCAAAAATCATAAATCAAAGCAGTCAATTTAAATCATGACAAAGAGAGTACCAACCACCCTTTGAGAGATGGAGGTAGGATTTGAATAGCTGCGCGATTCGTTGGAGTTGGGGTCTTGGCAAAAAACTAATCCAAGGGTAATTTAGGCATTTCACTTCAAATGCAATATTGGCTCATTACATCCAATTGAAACCTATCCTAGTGACACCCCTAAAACACATAATGACCATTGGAAGCAATTAACAACTAACATATAGACCAAATTGTTTGTGCTTTTGTGAAGGGAATCAAAGTATGTGCATTTTCTCTATCCCCCAAATAATAATAATAATAATAATAATAATAGTAATAATAATAATAATACATAATAAAAATAATAATAATAACAATAATAATAATAATATTGCAGAAGGAGACAAGGGTTGGTTAATTGAGAGAAGAAGCAATGCATATATAATGTGGAATATATATACACAGTAATATATGTGCATATATGCATGTGTACAACTGGCTCAAATTTGAACCTTTCCTTTTCATTACAACTTTTGTTTTGTCAATTGGGATGGGATCAATCATGTCTGTCTTCATTTCAACAATGCCACATCCCACACTTCACTCAATCTACAACAACATTTTATCCTACAAAAAAAATAGTGTTGTACAAAACAAAAATTCCTACCAAACAGTTATGTGATTCTTCTAATAACGACCATGAAATTGGATCCTAGGAGGGCAAAAAAGTCACTGCTGGTTTTGTTAGCTAAAGAGCACATTTCAAGTGTCAAAATTGGTGATAAAACAATGACATACTTGTACTAAGCCCGGGCAATTGGACCAGTCTGTTTGGTTTTGATTTGAATTTGTTCAGGTTGGATTTATTTCAGATACTCCGTATATGTTTTGAATTGTTTGGGTTCATTTGATTTGATCCTCTTTGGATCTGGGTTTAACCTGTTTCATTCCTTATATTTTTCTTCGATCCATTTACGGTCTGGGTTTAATTTGATTTCCTACATTTTTTGTTCCCATGGTTTTAGCTATCTATGTGTTTTTGGTCGTTTGCGCTTTGTACGTCGTATCCAACGCCCTCAAATAAATTTACTCCCCAAATACAAAATGCATGTTTGTCGATTACCCGTATGGAACTAAAGGATGACGTGATTATGACCTTGAGTCTCAATGCTTCTTTCATAGCCGAGATACCTCATTTGACAAAAGTACGTAGTTTTACAAAATTAAGTTCCTTTTTGTTGGGTTAAATTATATTATGCACACGCTCACAGACAACAACTAATTTACTTTTTAGCGTGGATCAAATACTATAAGTTTACTTTTATGTGAAATTTGCACTGAATAGGACTAAAATATAAGTCATTTTCCAATGTAAGATTTAAATTTTTTATTTTCTAAATAGGACTTAATAATGTCTAATGAGATGAATAATGTCTAATAATGATGGACATTTACTTGAATAATGACTCATTGATAATGACCAAAAATTCCTACATTGGGAAATAAATACATATGATCCTATATTGGAAAACTTATTATGTTTTAGTCTTATTTAGGTAAATTTCTCTACTTTTATATGTGTATGATACTCTTGTCATAACAAATGAGAGTACTCTTGGCTCTTCCAAGAAGTATTGGTTGGAAAGATGATCACTCTCTAATAAATAAAATGCTCACCTGCCTACAATATTTTTAAATACAAGACAATAAATTTTACTCCATTCGGAAAAATTATGATCATCGACCGATTTTTTTCAATTTCATATATTTAAAAATTGATGTTAAATTAAAAATAGTGTTTATATATTTTTAAATAATATAAAAGTAATTTATCCTTTATTAATTAAAAAGAGACTTCAATTTCTAGGAAGCCTACATATGTCTTATGTGGTGTTTTTTTACACCTAATTTAATTATGACATGAGAAGTAAAATAATTAATAGTTTGGAATGAAATCAATGAGTAAATTTAATTATATAACAGAGATCTTTGTTTTCTTGATACTCTCTATTCTTTCTTAATTCTATATTTTTTTCTTCATTTATAATGAAAATTTTATATATATTCTGTACTACACTACTACGTACGTATCAAAAAAGTACTCCCTTCACTTCTAAATAAATTTTATATTTTTCAATTATACACTTAGAGATTTTAGTTTTAATTTTATTAGATGTGTTAAAATAGAGAAAAAATACTAAACACAATTTGAGATTTCAAGAGGAAGAAGTTTCCATATCTCTAGATTTGATAGCTAAAATTCTACGCCTGCGCACCAGATCCGCCGCCGCAGATCAAAGATGATGCACATGACCTTCTACTGGGGCACTAGGGTAACCCTCCTTTTCGACTTCTGGAAAACCGATTCCGCCACCAGCTACGCCCTCTCCTTGATCGCCTGCCTCGTCGCCGCCGTCTTCTACCAGTACATGGAGGACCGCCGCCAGCGATTCAAGCTCGTCTCCTCCCTCGAAACCAGGAAGGCCTCCGATCATCCGAGTCCGATCGACGCGCCACTCCTCCACTCCGTCTCCGCGGCGAGTCGCCGATTGAATCTCGCCGGCGCTGTTCTGTTCGCGATCAACTCCGCGATCGGGTACTTGCTGATGCTGGCGATCATGTCCTTCAACGGCGGCGTATTCATCGCCGTCGTATCTGGACTCGCCGTCGGGTACCTGATCTTCCGCGGAGGCGGCGAGGAGGACGTCCTGGTGGTGGATAATCCCTGCGCCTGTGCTTGATTTCCGATTTCAGTAATTATTTTCCCTTTTTTTTTTACCAGAAACCTGTGTTGTTTGAATCCATGACGAACTATTGATGTGTATCATATGTATATACAAATTTGTATTAACGAAATGAATTTCCGGATCCATGAATAAATCCCCCATAGCTTATGAAATCTAGTTGAAGAAACTGATAAAACCAGATTCTGTTTGAAGGCTGCGTTGAAGTTCATGAAGACGAGAGATCCATTTCCCCCCTTCTTTTCCTTTTCTCACTTCAAAACAAAAATTTTATTTTCCTTTTAAAGCTCTGTTCCAATAATAGAAAGAGAATTGAATGTTGGAAGAAATTTGTACCGTTTTATTTAGTGTTCGAATCAACCAAGTATAAAAAATAGAGAGTATTTGAGGGTGTTTGGCAGTGCGTTGCCTTTAACAATTTAGCTTCTGCTTTGAGTGAAAGTGATTTTACTCTGTTTAGCATGTCAGCTTCTGCTTTTTACCAACATTATTTTGTACATGGAACACCGTTTCGGAGAAGCAAGTATGAGGTGCTTTTGCTTTCAGCTTTTGTAGAAATCAGTTTATCAATAAGCTAATCACTCCCAAACACCCTCTTTAAATTTTAAATTGTACGATATTTCTTGTTCGAATCAACCAATTTCAAAAAGTGCCAAGTAAATGTGATTTTTTTATTTTGTTAACAATTTATGACGATTTTCTTAAAACTTTAGAAAAAATTAGGAGCACCCTTGATATACATTTAAAAGCCCGGTTCCATGCCACTAGATTCTAGTGGCTATGGAAGCCACTGCCTCCCTACGGAGCTCTGTTCATAAAATTGATGATTCCTACCCCCTCTAACTTCCCCAGTAAACTCCCCGCCAAGTCCCGACCCAAAATAATCACCCCACCTACGTCAATTGCATCTCGTAAGTATAATTGACTTTAAAGTCAAAAGTTTTGACTTTATACTTACAAGATGCAATTGACGTAGGTTAGGTGATTAGTTTGGGTCAGGACTTGGCGAGAGGGTTTACCGGGGAGTAGGATTGTAAGAATCATCAATTTATAAACGAAACTCCGTAGGGGGGCAATGGCTTCCATGGCCACTGGAACCGGGCTCTACATTTAATGTGTGTATGTGTCTCTTACAAATTTGGTGTACACAAACTAGGTACTCCTAGCAAAACCCTAAAATTTTTAATGAGGAGTTTTCAGTTAAGTTTATCAATCACAGAGTCTCTTGATTTTTCTTACAGTTTTATTCTTGTTTTCTTTACTAGAGTACATGAGATATGAATGCAATGGATTAACTTTTCAAAGATATTTTGAAAAATAAACCTAATAAAATGATTTTACTATTAGCATAAAACACAATTTTTATAAAATTGAGTAAAACTTAACAAACAGACAGGTTTTTTAAATGCAAAATAAACACTTCATGGATAGCTTTTACTAAGCTGGCTTTTACCCTAAACTGGGTTTAATCATAATTCATAAACAAAATCACTACTACAGATATATCAGTAATGAAGATCCTTGCTATTCTTGATCATCAGTTTGTCACCATATTTCCATATCCATCTGCAGATGCCTTCTAAAGAGTGACGAAAAACTGGAAACTGTTGATTCGCCCAATAGATCAGAAAACGACAACTATCCCATGATCCGGCTCCAAACAGAGGAGATCGGTTCAGATTTAACATCCGTAAACCGAAGAGAAGAACTGAACGAAACATTCAAGAGTGGGAGCAGACCATTTATACTCTCTTTACAAAGGGAGAACCGAAAGAAACAGGACGGGTAGCTTCACTCGCTAGTTTTCTTTAGGACTCCCCGATCACGTTGGCAGTGGAACTAGAGTTCACTCTTCACAAGTATAGACTATGGGTGATTCTCAACTCTTATTGGGATTAGTTCACTCTCTTGCTGTTGGCCCCCCCTTGACCTCAAGCTCTTGGGGAACCATCTGCGCAGGACTTCCGGCAATCTGGATCAGCCCACATCATGCATTAAGGCTATGTTTAGAACTACAAAAGTGGAAGTGAAAGGAAACTAACAAAAGCCGGGAAAGATGATTTTTTATGTTTGGTGGGGTGGGGGCATAAATTAATATAACAAACGTAAAACGGCATAGAAATTGAGGCGAGGAAAAACTTACAGGTCTAGTCTTTCATAAATTGCCCGTCGCACTGACGAGTTGAGGCCATATGCTATTGAGTTGAAGAGACCCTATTCACAAATTCCGGGAAAAAAAGGTACAAAACCAATACTTGCTCAGTTGCTAATTTGCAATAAAAAACCATAGGGGAAATGACACTTTTACCATGGGCTCAACCCTCAAATCCCCCCCCCCCCCAATCTGCTATCTAGGTTAAAAAACCACTTTGGGAGAGGGGCTGAAAATGGACAAGTCAGTATTTTGAGGACTAAAAGCGAACTGATTGTGTACCTCAGGAACTAAAAGATCAGATTTTCAAATTACTAAATTAAGATGATTATGATATATCCAGGCTGGATAAATGAAGTATTCACAAGATGCCAAAAGCATCTGGATGAGATACATACTAACCATTAGTGCAGCCATGCCAACGTCAAGTACTGAGAGCCAAAATATTTTCTGGTCTGGCTCAATAAAATCGTGAATGCGATTTATTGTACCGAAAAACCACGAACCTATAAGGATAAGTGGATAGTACCCCCATCGATTCATCGCCTGTAAAAGCAAGGGCAAGGAGTGAAGGCAAAATCTGGTCAATAGTCATTCACAGGAACAAACAATAAACATTAATCACACGTTTGGCATGGAGGGAATATAGAAGAAAGTACTACTTTCATACACCCTTTAAATTTTAGTAAATGACAAGTCTATCGCTATTAAAATCATCTATTCTAGCTATATAATTTTTTGTAGGTTTAACTAAATTCAACACGTTTGTGGCACTTTTGTTCAAAATAAAAAACATTCATATAATGAAAATTATCTTATTTTCCTCAAATAAAACTATTTTNCTGGTCAATAGTCATTCACAGGAACAAACAATAAACATTAATCACACGTTTGGCATGGAGGGAATATAGAAGAAAGTACTACTTTCATACACCCTTTAAATTTTAGTAAATGACAAGTCTATCGCTATTAAAATCATCTATTCTAGCTATATAATTTTTTGTAGGTTTAACTAAATTCAACACGTTTGTGGCACTTTTGTTCAAAATAAAAAACATTCATATAATGAAAATTATCTTATTTTCCTCAAATAAAACTATTTTGGGACAAAAATATGTTTTCATGTAGGGCTCTCTTTATTTGGGACGAAGCGAGTATTTATCCGTCGCGAAAATAATGTAGGAGGAATAGATAAAGATCATAAATTCCAATGTTTGATTTGTGGAAACAAGACCATTAGGAATAACTACAAGGGAGTACAATGTTTGGAATGATAATGGAATAGATTGTATAAAGACCAAACTTAAGTACGGAGTAGAAGATAGCATATTCTCCCTTCAACTAAAGAGGTTGTAAAACATAAAATACCTTCATATCTGGCCGAGCATCTGACACGCCGGCTGCCATCTGAGGAACATAAGTAAATCAGTATAGTGATCAATTCCATTTCGGACATTCATATGATAAATCAAGAGACTGTAGAAAAACATTGAAACATACACGAGTTGCATTGTTAAGCATCCGTATTACTTGAAAGTATGTGATTCCATTAAAGAGAATTGCAGCCCAGAGAGGTGCATAAAAAGTAACAAAGTGAACTACCTGCAATTGAAACAAATACATCACACAACTAGGAATGTAATATCATGATTCATTTAAGGTTCCATTGTATTTGGCACATGGAAAATATTTTTGTTGGTTTCTTAAACATTAGTGGAAAACAACTTAATCTTTTAGAACAAGAAAACATTATACGGAGAATAAAACAACTTAATTTCTACACTTTACATAAGAAAGCAGCATTGACCCACGCCACATGGGGAATTTGTTTTTCCTCTTGCAGTTTTCTGTGGTGCATTCTGGAAAATTTATTTTTTTTAAAAAAAGAAAAGACACGCTACCAATGACTTGCCTTTCCTGCACGCCCTGTTTGTGCCCAACACAAGGTGCCTAGGCGAGTTATATGCCTATGGTCATTGCCAATAGAGCGAATAACTGTCATGACAATTGAAGTTCCTGCAAGTAGTTCAATAAACAAAAAATAGTTATGAAGGTATCAGATAAGAGAACATTGCATGGCAAAAATAACATAACATATGCAGAATCAACTAAGGGGCATTAGGATCACAGACAATAAGAAAATGTTAGGTAATAGGATTACCTCCCGGAAAGGATGTGATATTACAGGAATATGAGATTACCTTAAACTGTTTGGTTCACGGAATGTGGTATTAGGTATTACTTTTTTGTTAAATTGCAAAGTACATTCCTAAATTCCTTAAAAATAAATGCTATGTACAACGTTGGATTCACATTACCCAAGGCAATTTTATAGTATCTAAAGATAAAGGTAATCACATTACCCCACAACATTATCTCATTCACCTACGTGGGGTAATCTCAGATTTTCCTGGTAATATGAAAACGTAAACTAAACAAGGTGATCTCATATTTACTGAGGTAATGTGAGATTTCCTGAACATTTAATTAAATTCACAGAGAAAGAAAGCTTCTTCATATGAAAACACAGCTTATAATGATAGTAAAAAATAAATGTTTGAGAAAAGAAAAATTAGTACCCCAAACATATAAATGAAACATAGGTTCCAAATCTTCAACATCAGTTTTATGTCTAACAACAGTTCGGTGAAGGGTAAAAGCAATTGTAGTAGTCCAAAGAAAAGAGGCTACACAGAAGAAATGTGTTGTGTAACCCTGTGCATAACAAAAGAACCCTTTGGAAGGATCCCTGCATATTGAGAACAAACCGAACATCAATTTGTAACCAACAATGCACAATGGAGAAGAAAATACCGAAATCCAAGCATAGTAGTCCCCACAACACCCGCTCTTACCCAATTATGCTGAAGAAACTGCAGCACATATCCTGCAATAGAAGTTAAATGTTTGTTATTTGGTCAATACCCAAGAGAAGCATGTATTGTAATAAAGAGAATACTCAAAATGACAAAATATGAAAACCATAGAAACTATGAAAAGAACTCAAGCTAATGCATTAAAATACTAGCAATGTTTCTACCACTGCTCAATAATAAACATTTCTTACTCTAATTTTTATCATGTACAGAAAATATCATGGATGGACTTGTTGCATTTATTATTCAGATTCTACATATGATTCCATTCCTCAAACAAACCAAACATAGAAAATCATGAAGTCTAATGCATGCCAAAAGAATTTACAATTTCATTTATCTTTAAACAAGATGAGCACATTCAACAATAACCCAACATACATATGGGAAGCTGGTGTTCCAGATTTAGAAGCACTGAAAGGCCAAAACGAGAAAGCTTAAACCAAACCAATCCAAACAAAAAATTGTAAGCTGCATATTAATTCTAATATCTCAGTGTTTCAGTTTCTCAGATAATTTACCACACAATTTCAGTAGAGGAACTGAAATCTGGCAGATTTCAACTAATTAAAAAGAGGAACTTCAAGCCCACTACTTTAAGCACTCTCATCAAGTTCAATTTTATTTGGGAAATTTGGATTTCTCTTTACGCCACATGGGGAGAATATGAAATGCAAAACCCTAGAAAATGAACAACAATAACGAGAATAGAGAAGATATAGAGGACTTCGAAGGAGAGAAAGTAATTGAAGGAGTACAGAGAGGGCGAGGAAGAAGACGAGCTTGAAGGAGAACTTTCGGAGCTCCTTGAAGAGCAAATAGCAGAGCACTATGAATCCGGAACCCAACAACGACAGGCTCGACCCGCCGGTATTCACCGCCGTCAGAACTCCCCGCTCCGCCACCGTCAGGTTCCCCATCACCGCCTGCACGGTCGCCATTGCTGGCTGTCCCTCTCCCCGTTACTTTCAGAGACTTCTCCCGGATTGTTGTTGAAGCCCGACCCAGTACGGATCCTGGAGCTTTTGCTCTGCTCCAGATTTCTAAGCTAAGCAATAAGGAGAATCAAGGAGTTGTAATTAACAATATTTGCAAAAATCCATTGCTGTCACCAAAGTCGCTTTGGCCGAGTGGTTAAGGCGTGTGCCTGCTAAGTACATGGGGTTTCCCCGCGAGAGTTCGAATCTCTCAGGCGACGATTTGTTTTTGGTTTGGAGTCCGGTAGAACAATTGCTCTGGATAAATTTCACTCATTCTATACGAACTTTCATCATTATTTCACTTTGGCATATAAATTCTAATCCCTATCACAAAAATACACGTAGGCGGTTTCAAAGTCACCTTCAGGTCATTTGGTAAAATTGTAATTTTATAAATTTAAATTTTATTTTTGACTCCTTTTCTTTTTTTCTTAGTTCTCCACTCTTTTCTTAATCTTCTTCAAAACCCCCACCCTCCCCCTCCAGTTTTTTCTTTTCTTCCAGCCCCACCCCACCCGCACCATTTTTTCTCTTCTTCTCCTCTTTTTTACGTTCAACAGTGTGACGACTTGAATATTGCACCGACAGTGGCACAATCCATTTCATCCAGTCAGAGCGTCTCCTCCTTTTATCACCCTGCATTTCCATGACATTTGAAGCTCGTAAGGCATCCAGTATGACTTGTATACTGTTTGTGAGCATAGAAACTTTCTTGAAGCCTGCTATAAGTTTAATAGGAACCCATCCCTGGTCATCCATATTTCCACGCAAGAACATGTCCTTAATTAAATATTTATTAGTGAAATAATAATCTATCTGATTTACTATCTTGCTATACAACTGAGGATCTGGTACGAGATACAAAAAAGGAGGCATATGAGGAGATGCAACCTCCAGATAAATAACAGGGGGACTGAAAGGTCGTATGGGCATGGTTGGAGGAATAAAAGGTGGAGTACGAGGACCGCGTATGAAGGGCCTAGCAGAAGAAGAGGGGAAGAAGAGAAAAAATGGTGCGGGTGGGGTGGGGGTGGGGGTGGGGGTGGAAGAGAAGAAAAAAATGGAGGGCTAGGGTAGGAGGTCTTGAAGAAGATTAAGAAAAGGGTGGAGAACCAAAAGAAAAAAAGAAAAGAGGTCAAAATCATAAAATTTAAATTTATAAAATTATAATTTGACTTCAAATGACCTGAAGGTGACTTAGAAACCGCCTATTGGACCACCGACGAAAGAATGTTGAAAGTTCGTGTATGTGATAAGAATTAAAGTTTATATATCGAAGTGAAATAATGATGAAAGTCCGTATACAATGGGTGAAATTTACCCCAATTACTCCGTATATTTTTTGTTTCGATTACTCTAAATTAGAATCTTCTCGTTTTGACTTTTTATGATTTTAAGAAGGTTGAAAAAAAAGTAAAAGTTTACAAAAATCATTTTAATGAAAATGGGTGAAATGTATTAAATGAGATGGTTGAGATGTAATGAATAAAGTAAGTGCGAATAGTTTTGATATTTTAAATGTTAAAAAAATAATAAAAAATATTGAAAGGCAAATGAGAAGATCTATAAGGGACAAATGTATTTAAAGAAGATCTTTGGCCCCTTTTAGTATTTTAAATGTTTTTCATTACTTTTTCTCCGGCCCCATTGAGCAAAACCCATTTTATAAGAATAAAAGCTAGGATGTCACCACATAAGCTTTGTTTGGCATCAACGTTTGAGATTAACATTAGCATTTTGAAAAAGCTATCCGGCGGTAGTCCTTAGCGTTAGCATTTTCAGAATTAATATATACCATTAAAGTTTTATTTAAAATGCTAAAGCTAATCGAAAACGCTACTACCAGACAAGGCCATAATAAGTGCTACCATGAGTGTCCTCGTGATTTGAACAGACATACACAAATCATTATCATCTGTATGACATAGATGATAGATTATTATCATTTGTGTGTATCATTAAAATATAATGGTTACCATGATAGCACTATTCTGGCACCCTAAGAACATCTCCAAAGGCATTGTGTATAATTGGTATGCTAAATCATTATTTAAACTATGCATAGTATTCCAACGACATTGTTCATAGTAGTTATAATTATAATTTTTTTAATGTTATTGTCTGAAAAGATCCACCTACTAGACCCCAGAATTATTCCCCCACCACAAATATGAAAATAGTCCATCTACAGTGTCTTTCATTTAAGACTGATGATACAATAATTATAAAAGATGTGTTATTTATTAGAAGCTCCGTTGGAGCACCAAAACATGAACAACATGTATACATTTTGTTTGGCTTATACCATCTCCATTGGAGCTGCTCTAACATCTTAACATGGACCTAAATATAAAAAATAAGCAATTCCTAACTATCTCGATGAACATTTATTTCAATTAAAAACTAAAAAATTAAAAAAAAATGTGAGAAGATGCACAAAGATGGTATGTACCAAAGGTACACCATAGAAGCACCCTTTTATAATGACTCATTTGCCCGCATGGGTAATTCAGCTGGTTCAAGGAGAGAATGTCAAGTCCGTTGATCTAAGGATCGAATCTCGGCAGCGGTAGTGTGAAAGTTCTATTATTTATAATAGCTTCGAATCTCGACAGCGGTAGTGTGAGAGTTCTATTATTTATAATAGCTTCTTATGCACACCGAACATGTTAGAGTCTTTCTAAGTAACAAATTGAGATTATAGCATAATTTATCACATTCACAATTTTGTCGGGGTGCGAGGCGCCCAAGGTGATTGGTCTATACTTCGTGTGAGATTTGGGTGACCTAACAACTAGCATGGACCAATATAAAGACGGGGTAGATACACGAAGTATAGACCAATCATTTGGGGTGGAAGAGATCTCATTGCTTTATAATTTTCTGGACTCCGAACTCTGTCAAGTATAAACTAACCTCTCTCAACCACTTCACCATATCGTCGACATGTTGCCCGCCTGGCTGAGCCCCGTCTCCCTGTACGGCAGATTCCTCCGGCGAAGCCTCTCCGCCGCCGGCTTCGCTCCTCAATCGGTGGACCTCGACGAGGAAACCACCCTCCACTTCTGGGGCCCGATCCCCGACAATTCATCATCCTCTCCTCCCAAGCCGGCGCTGCTCCTCATCCACGGCTTCGGCCCTCACGGCGTCTGGCAATGGCGCCCCCAAATCTCCTTCTTCGCCTCCGATTACCGCGTCTTCGTCCCCAGCCTGGTCTTCTTCGGCCGATCCGTTACCAAATCCTCCGATCGCTCTGAAGTTTTCCAGGTATATATGCAGCTGCTGCAATCTACTGTCAATTAATTTCATTCTGAGATATGTTTAATTATTCCTTAAGCTGCATTTCGATCTGTTTGATCTAAATCAATTCCAGTGAGGACATTCATATGCAATTGATCTGAGAGTAAAAAAAACTTTAGCATAGCTGATTAGTTCACTATTTTGGTTGAACTGGTTGACTAACATGAAATTTTGTTGATTTGGAGATCACAAATTTGATTTTCAATTGTCTGTGTTAATATTATTAGCTTAAGCTTGTTCCTTTGTCTACTTTTACTGCTTATTTAACAAAATAATATAGTTATTTGGTAAGGTTCAAGTGACATTCGATTTGAACGTGGCCCGACGGGACTCTGTAGGTAAAATTGATAGTTCCTACTTCCTAACTCTTTCTTCTGCACCCCGTCCCGAGTTCGTCGATTGACTTCAGTGTCCGTGAAATGAGGGAGGGGAAGGGGGGGCATTGGGCTCAATGTCATTTGAACCGCTCCGATAGTTAGGTACTTTGTATCACTTTCTATTGTGTATAAATTTTTTATTGCTGTTCTTGAATATGAGTATATAATTTTAATTTTTAATTCGTCACAAATTTACAAATAAAAATAAATTAAAAATAATTTCAGTCAAATACGAAAGTTATTCCATGCATCTTGAGATTAAATCATTAGTTTAAGTTTTTGGTTCACTTAAGATTGTTAGACGGTTCAAACTGATTTATAAAGTGAATTTTAAAAATGTATCATCAGGCGAAATGTGTGGGGAAATTGATGGAGAAATTAGGAGTGGAGAAGTATTCGGTGGTGGGGACGAGCTACGGCGGGTTCGTGGCGTACCACATGGCGAGGATGTGGCCGGAGAGGGTGGAGAAGGTGGTGATCGCAAGCTCCGCCGTGAACTTGAAGAAGCAGGACAATGAGGGGCTGCTGAAGAGGGCAAACGTGGACCGGATTGAGGAGGTGCTGCTGCCGTCCACGGCGGAGCAGCTGAGGAAGTTAATGTCTCTGTCCACTTTCCGCCGGCCTCCTAATTACTTGCCCGATTTCCTCCTCAATGATTTCATACGGGTAAGTGTCCCTTTTTCTCACCTATACGTGTCACCGTCCTCTTCAATGCATTTGGTTTCATTATTTCATATGGAGTATTTATTGAGGATGCCAAAAAAAGGTTATGCTTTAAAAAAAGGTCGGGTAATGAGTTAAAGGTGGGGTTCCCCAAGGATTTGAACCCTATTACATGAGATGACCCGGAGGCGCTTCGTGACATGTTCGTAAAATTAACGGTCCCTACCTCTTAACCTCCCAATAAATCTGCTCACCCGACCGAACACACTCTCCACCCTCTTCAATTGCATTTTATAAGTTAATTTTGACTTTGAAGTCAAAATTTGTCTCCAAAGTCAAAATTAACTTGTTGGGTGTGTAAGAGACGAGTCAAAATTTGACTTTTGTAATTTTTTTTACAATAAAAAATGGTTAAAAAGAATTATGATTTCAGTTTCAATTGTGCAGAATGGTTATAATCAACCCGGTGCGGGTGTGTAAGGGACGGGTCCGATAATGGGTTAAATTAAATTATAATTTCAGTTTTAACTTTTTTTAATAATAAAAAAATCATAACTGAAAATTTAGTTTTTGTTATGATTAAAAAAACATTAGTAAAATTTGTCCTTGATATTGCGAGGACATGGGAGCCCCCATGTTTAGCATGTTCATTCTTTTTCACCGTTGTGGGCGGCGTATTTATTTATGTGATAATTAATCGTGGTGTCGGCTTTGGAAATTTTGTATAAAAATATTTTTGGAAAAAAAATTAAAGTATGAGTAAAACATAGAAAATGTACTAAAATACTACCTCCGTCCCAGTGTATTTGTCCAGTTTGACTTTTTCGAGTCAAACTGGACAAACTTTAAACTTTAATTACTTTCAATTTATATTGCATATTAGCATAATGAAATACAAATTTGAAAGTTCTCAATAAGATAAATCCAATAAAGTTATTTTTATGTTAAAATACATTACGGTTTTTATTTAATTGAAGCTCAAAGTTTTTCTAGTTTGACTCGAAAAAGTCAAACTGGACAAATACACTGGGACGGAGGGAGTATGATTTACATGTTTTTGTTTCTCAAAGTAAGAGTTAAAATGCATATACGATCCCAATTATGCTAATATGTCTCAATTTTGCTAATATATAATATTAAAAAGTATTGTGAAATATTCATATACAGTATCACATGATCAAAGTGCAAACTCTTATTTCAGATATATAAATATGGAACTCCTATTTTGATACTTTCTCTATGTGTTGTTCTTATTTACAATGATTTATTAACATGTTTTACAAAATTTATTTATGAAAATTAAATACATTGATTAAACTATGAAGGGAAAAAGTCATAAATGTGGCCAAACAATTTGTTTTATTCTTCTATTTTTTAATGCTATACTTATAAAGTCTAAACAATCAATCATTGGTTTTCTTTATAAAACAAATTTACTCCCTACAAATTTAAAATGATGACTTTATTTATATGTCTATTTATTTTGCCTCAAAACAGGGGAAATTTATTGGTTTTAGCCATCTCCCCACTCCCCTTAACCTTCCTCTCCCTTTTTCCTCCAATACACAATTAATTGAAAACTACGGTGTACTTCTCATTTTATTTACTTTTGTACAATTATAAACATGACTCACACCTTTTTGCTTTAATTAAAGAGATTCTAATTATATAAACACTTCGTCCGCCAAAAAATATTGAATTGCCTCATATAAGGGCCCGTTTCGCAACAATTACGGATGTATGTGTTAGCGTTTTGAAAATATTATTGACATTCCCCTAGCGGGGTCATGTGCGATCCTCTTCTTTTGAATTGCTTCATTTAAGGGCTTGTTTGGCACCAACATCATATGTATCCCGTAGTGTTTTGAAAAGATTATCTAGCGGCAACGTTTAGCTTTAGCGGTTTTAAAATTAGTCTTCATCATTAAATTTTTTCAAAATCCAAAAAAAAGAAAAAAGATAAGCCCCATCCCCGAGGCCTCCATCAGACCCGACCGGATGGTCACTGGTAGGAGGTAAATTAGACTTTAATCGTAGATTGGTGGCAAAGAGTGGAACTTGCATCTGGTACTTGCAGATGTTCTATGCTTAGCGTAGTTGCATCCTACCGCAATTGATAGGAATCGAACTCGGATCTTAGTCCCTTAGCACTCCTTGCCTTTGCTACCTGATTATCATCATCAATGATTGATTGAATGTTGTGTGCAGAAATTGTACGTTGGAAACAGGAGGGAGAAGCTGGAACTGCTACACGGATTGACCCTTGGGAAGGACAACTGCCACAAAGTAGTCCCTCTGCAACAGGAAGTGTTGCTTATATGGGGAGAACACGACCATTTGTTCCTAGCAGAGAAGGCCACACAACTTAAGGGCATTTTAGGGAAGAAGACGAGGTTGGAGATTATTAAAAACACTTCACATATTCCCCAGCTGGAGGATGCCTCCCGATTCAATAACGCCGTCAAGAATTTCCTATGCCCTCCTTAATTGAATATATATATATATATATATATATATATATATATATATATATATATATATATATATATATATATATATATATATATATATATATATATATATATATATATATATATATATATATATATATATATATATGTATGTATACATACACACACACACGAAAAAATGACCACCAAATACATTGTGCATGTACAAATATGCCCCCATTGATTGTGTGGATTTCCCCCAAAATGTGCTTTAGTAGCCAGGCCACCATATTCTGTATATTTTAATTCTTCTTTTACTTAAAACTACTATTTATGTCATCATCATCATCAATATAAAACAATCTATTATTATTATTATAAATAATAATAATACATATTATTATTATTGTTGTTTTTGTTGTTATTATTATTCTTCCTTTATCTCAAATTAATACTCTTGCTTTGACTTTGTACGAAATACTCTCTCCATCCCAGTAAATTTGTCCAGTTTGATTTTTTCGAGTCAAACTGGATAAACTTTGAGCTTCAATTAAATAAAAACCGTAATGTATTTTAACATAAAAATGACTTTGTTGGATTTATCGTATTGAGAACTTTCAAAATTGTATTTCATTATGCTAATATTCAATATAAGTTAAGAATAATTGGAATTCAAAATTTGTCCAGTTTGACTCGAAAAAATCAAACTGGACAAATACATTGGGACGAAGGTAGTATAAAAAAATAAAAATATGGAAGTGATGTTGAAGAGAAAGATAAAAGGTGAGCTACAAATTATTTTTTGGAAAATCAAAGATAAAGATTAATTTAAAATAGTTCAATGTGAAAATAATGAGAATTAATTTGGAACGGAGGGAGTGTCATTATGAGAAATTCCTGGCAATGCTGTCAAAATTAATATTTTACACAAAAATTCAGAGATTGAATAATCAACACTAGCGTTTTTAGAATTTAAAACTCCGTATTTTCAGATACCAAAGTTTCTTGATTACATATTGATCACAAATACTCTCGAAAAAATGGACCGATGCACCAACAAGAATTCATGGTGCATTAATATAAAAATATTTAAAGTATTAAAAGCACGTGTCTGTGAGAACATTAGCAAATCCTTCCAAAATTAACATTGCTGAGAAATTAATGACAATTTTATATGTAGACGAAAGAGACAAATAACATATTGCATGAATTTTTTCCATAAATACAATACACACACACATATATAGGGGTTGATTCCTATGAAAATGCACTTTATGGAGAGAAATGAGAATAAAGTCTAGTCATTGGATTTGATGCATCATGCAGCTCAGATTGCATCCTGCGCTCATATTTTGAGAGTGCATTTTCAAAGAATTTTGGTGCATTTCGACATGATGCATTTTCAAAACATTTTGGTGCACCTAATTTTGATTAAATCATGATTCTTAGATCTCACAATCTAAAGTATCATATTCATTCTTATTTCTCTCATAAGATCGCATTCTCACCAGAACCAACACAACACACACATATATATCTATGTATGTATGTATGCATGCATGCATGCATGTAAAGAAGATAAGAACACTAGACTATAACACTCCATGAAATCAAGATCTCAAACTTTGTTCTTCTCTCTTTCCCAAGACAATCCACTCTTCAAAAGACAATGAACTTGAATTTTTGTGGTAAACAAAGAAACCACATTTCATTACAATTTGTGGTAAAGAATGAGAAAAAAACACTTTCATTAATGCGTCGAAATCTTCAAAATTACAATAGATGTCAATACAATTTAAATGTTTAGGAAATGGGAATGACCTTACTTCTTGCTAGTTATTTTAAAACAAAGCAGAGAAGCAAGGCAAGATTCACATACCAGCATTGTGGCCATAACATACCATCTGCACATGTTACTAAAAGTGGAGTGAATTCCATACACACTGTTCCAGAACATACTACTCTTTAAGACTTTCCCGTTAGATCGACGTGGATGGAGTAACTCTTCTTTTTTCGCCCGCCTTCCAAAATCTCATAGTGGGCTCGCTTTGTGCATGTTAAATGTCAAAAGGATGAGATAGGCAAGATAATCGCAATAAATTTACATCGCTAATACAAGCAAGAGACTTGACAGGGACTGTGAAGTCATCATTTCCTCATTTTGGCTGCTGCAGCTGAAGCATCACGGATGGGTTTTCAGATAAGAACTTTGGGAGTTCTTTGAGCGAGGGATTTATTTCAGGAAGCGCCATATAGATGTCTTCGGTTGAGAACGGAATGCTGCAACGAGGATGGGTAAATAGTAAAATTACAGATGATCTTGTTTATATCAAGGCCTAATTTGCGAAAAGCAATTCTCTAAAACGATTTTCAGAATCTAGATGGAAAGTGAAATTGATGGGATCAAGTTCAAGATGTACCATGATGGCATGATGAGTTATTATTGGGAAAACAATGTCAAAGGTCAAGCAATTTACCTTGGGTCTTCATCCAACAAGAACGAGTTTGTCGTTAAATTTTGAGAATCCTTGTTTAAGATTTCTCTCATCTGACTAACAACCTTTAGTAAAAGCAATACATTCCAGAACATCAGTGAGCATAATGGAACACGATGGAAAACAAATGATGTAGCAACAAGAGGAAAAACATATAGCATAGTTAAGAAAAAGTACTTGCCTCGTTTGACACACTTTGAGTTCCATATTTATCGTCCCAATACATTGTGATTATGCGGTAGATTTGTCTTATTGTCAATGCCTATTTAATGATCGTAAAGTTAAAATAAATATTTGAACCAAGAGAAGATTGGAGCATTAAGAACTGTCGTGAACTTAAGAGGTTCATGTCTTACCGGGCAAAGATCCTGCATTATTTCTTCCAATGATTTTTTCCGCTTTTGGTGTATAACCTACAAATATATCGAGAACAAGTTCCGAATTTATGTTATAAATGTTACAGATCACATATCCAATTTGCATCAAAAAAGGAAAATTATATACCAGAAATCCAACAGCCTGTCTGATGTATTTCAACTCATGCCAAGAAGTGCCGGAAACCTGCATTTACAGTGAGCCTCAGATTTTTTAAATTGCGCAATGATGGGGGAAATGCAAGTAAATTGCTGGAAAAGTACCTCCTCCTGGGCATTTACTATCCATTTTTCTAGTTCAGCCAAACCGGATTTCACATATTCACCATTTGAAAATGAGCAACACTCACGGCGGAGTAAAAGACTGACAGTTAACAATAACAAGTTCAAGGTAGGAGGAACATTAACACAAGCCAAAATAGAAAAAAAAAAAATAAGTTTCAAGAAAAGTGGAAAGGAAAATAAATAGCCTATCAGCAAGGTACCTGTTAAACAACGAGAAGTTGATGAAGGAGAAAACTAGGGTTGTAAGCTTACGGATGAAAAACGAAGGCACCTGAAAATAGTAGGGGCACAAGAAAAAAATTACAGAAGTCCTAAACCAACAAAATACCAGTGGGAAAACTAAAAAACAAACAAGTAGACACATGTATACTTGCATCTATACTAGCAGATACAATATCAGATCTCTGATATTTTTACCTTGTTCCTAGAATCCTACAGGTTCATTCTAATATGTTTCAGAGATTTTTTGTAAATAAAGGAAAGATTTGAGAAAAATAGTTCAGATAACAAAATGTATCTTAACGGACTTTTAGGGTCATTTCCATAAATATGGAAAATCAATACTCATGCATCGGAGTAAACAAGGAAATGTGTTTTACTTGGAATATAAAGTATTATATTAAATCCTAGGTATCATTCCAAGATTATCTTCCAGGCATTCCATTTATTATTTGAAAAACAAACTTTAGAATCCAAATTTTCCATTATAGGTCCCAACAGAAGTCTTTCGGTTAACATGTTTGGCATTCGTGGGGTGGACTAGTGGAGTGAGGAGATAGGAATGGGTCAGCAACAGATTCAAAGGGATGCCACTCTCTCTCTCTCCCTCTCAGAGCGAATGCATTAAATGCAAGAGATTACCTTAATATAATGATATATGTACTGTATTAAACAAAAAATGCTAGAAAAAGAAATGTCCTTCATACAAGATTTTCTTGTAGACGGCTCACAAAAGAATCCAGAAATTTGGTGATGCTGTCCCATGGATTATTTGGTGACTGCTGAAAAGCACCTCCAGGCGATCTAGACATTTTCCCTCCATGAACTCGCTGGATTTTTTGTCCCTTTATCATATATTGGGGAAAAAAGATTATATGAGGATATACTCATTGGGGAAGAAAATATGCATGTGCAATCTATAAATATATAAAAATAGAAGCCATTGCTAAAAGTTATTAAAATTTACTGCACTGGTTTCATCAAGATACCCCTCTGGAAAAACACTTGAAGAAAACTGACTGTATACCTTGAACTTTTGTAAAGGCAACTCAACAAGTCAATTTATCAATATGTATATAAAGTTAAAAGTATAAAAGCTGATTGGCAATCACTTACTTGAAATGTTATTAGATAATTCAAATTTAAGCGCATAAGTTAAAAATAATGCAGGACTAAGAAAAAAATATATGCATTTGTTGTGACAAACAAGCAAATAAATGGGGAAAAACATTGAAGTTTTTTTTTCTTTTTGTAAAATGAATTAAGAACTACAAGATCCAGGTGTTCCTCTTTAGAGAATACCTGAATACACAATCCCAACAATCGAGTAATCTCCTTCTTCAAATTATCCCGTATCAAGCCAAATATCTTCTCAACAGACGCAGTTAATTGTTGCTTAAACAATATGGCCGGATACCTGGCTTCCAGGTGTGACATGCCATCCTGTATAGTTCAATAATACAACAGAGGGAACTTCAAACTGAATGACCACAAAAACAAGAGAAGAAAGGATTCCATACAAACTTGAGGGGATATGGGGATGTTTGACTAAACATTAGAATGTTTTATATTCAGTCAAACAGTTGAATGGCAGAGTCATGTAAGTTACGATGCCTATGAACGAGGATAACATGTATAAACTTCACGGATAATCAAGCAATCACATACTCACACAAATGTTAAAAAGAAAGAAAAATTGAGGCCTCATAGTTCTTAGAAATGCCTACATAGGGATTATAATCACTTCATGGAAGGTTACTGATGTTACTCTGTAGTCTGTAGATGTATTCTAAAAGTAGATACTAGGAGCAAACACATAGGTAGGTCTAGGCGGTGCGATTAGCAAGGTTATAAACGAATCGAACCAAACCAAATACCAAGTATTTGAATTCCTATTTGTTTATTTTTTTGAATATGAATTCAAATCAGAATATCAAACAAATTTTAAATTTTGAATATTTAATGCATCCTTAAGAGTTACTACTATTCAATTGGTATATAATTTAAGTGATGGACCACGTTCTTTTTCAACCCTTATCTTACGTTATTTTTTATACTATATCTCAAAAGCATGAATGCACTTACCTCAAACAAATATTATGCTCATCAAGCATAAATACTAAAATTGTAAGAATTTTAAAGTTTTATGTTACGTAAGTTTGACCAAATTTTAGTAATATAACTCAATGGAACAATACGTTAAAAATTTAAATGCACTTCATACCAGATTAATAGAGTGTGTGTGTGTTTTTGAATATTTGAATATCATCCAAATTGAATACCCTTGTATTTTTATATGTATTCTTTTCTTTTTGCATTTAAATCAAAGTTCATATTTGTATTTGGGTTTGAAATAATCAAATTCAAATCGTCATATTTGAATACAAATAACGAATCTAGCCAAAATTATTCACTTCATTTACAACCCTAGAGGTCAGACAGAGCATAGATGGGATTAGACGGGATGTTGAGATCAATATGTAAACACTCAACAGATGGCCAAATGCCAATGGAGTACTACTGCCTACACTGGAACTATGCAAGTCTGGGAATTCTTTAGAATAGTCTCTGTGGAAGCTATAAAGCTTACATGAGCAACCCTCCCATTTAACACAGAACCACCTCCAGAGCGCTGTGATGAAGCACTGAAGAAGCCATTAGCACGTAAATTCCTTTGTAGAAGACATAGAAGTGCTGATGTGTTGGATAACCAGTAAGGCAAGGTAGAGTCATTGTCATCATCAACCTGAAAGCAGAGAGATTTTATTTAAAATGTATTGGGTGCAATCACAATTTCACTGTAAGTATAGTCATCTCATAACTGTTTTACAAAGGGCTTGAGGAAAAAAGAATGATGAGAACATAAATTCAAACTGCTAGAGCAAATAGCAAACAACATAAGTGAATAACCTGTATGACACCATTGATAGTCTCAACAATGAATTCAAAAATAGGAGTTTTCTCTGCCTCGAAGGCACGCCAACGAAGAAGACATGTAAAGATAAGACAAGCTGCTACTGGTTTTCCATCTTGGAAGCCTAAATTTTCTTTGATGCACTGTGAGAGGACTTCATACTTCTCCTGTTTAAAAATAGTTTGATAGAGGAAAAAACAAAGATTATAGTATCTTTGACCAATCAATATTTAGACATCATTGGAGAACTTCATAATTCTGTGATTGGATAGAATATTTGATCAATCAATTTTTATGCATCATGGGGGGAAAAAACTTTGTCAAATATTTCATCAATTTCAGCTGGGAATGCTCCAAAGATGTGCATGCATGCATGCACCAATTGAAAACAAAAAAGATGCCTTACATTGTTGACCTTTCCACGGCGAGAATCAGTAAATCCTTCTGAAAAGAGCATAATTGATTTTGTAGGTGTAGGTGTTTCCTGTTAAGCATTTCTTAATCAGGAAGAGAAGGAAGTTTAAGCTCGACTTTTTAAGCAAAAAGTTAAGAATGGAGCAAGGAATCTAACGTATATAGATTTGCGGTCAGCGGAATGAAGAGTAACTGCACCAGGGAGTTTCTGCTCAAAGCAAATAAAATTACAAATTTACAACATAACTACAATGCATAAAACCTCAGCATGGCATTCATATGATTTAAACTTTGAAAACTCTAGTAGAAACGATTCCACCAATATGTGGGTAAATGAATGAATGCTTACATCAAGAAAAGGCTTAGAAAAGCCAGCACGGTTGCTCCTAGGTGACAATGTTTTTTGATGGAGCACAAGATTTTCATCCTCTAAACTTGAAAGCTTGGCTTCCAAACTAATTTACAGAACATGCGTAAGGAAAAACATAGTTGTCAATTGTCATCAAAACACATACAGAATAGCAACTAGCATGAAAAGCCCATCAAATAAAAACAAGGCAATAACAAATTTGATAGTAGTTACTCCCTCAGTCCCAAAACCATGTTCCCCTTGCCACTTTTGAATTTTGACTGTCCAAAAATCATCTTACCAATACTTCCTTGGGAATTTTTGGATTTGTGAGAAGCCACTTTCACCCTAAATTACACAACCTAATTACTACCCCCACAGCTTATTAAATGGTCATTTTGATCAGCAATAAAGTACCCCACAGAGCCAATTTTCAACTTAGTCTTTATTATGTGCCAGTTTCACCTACGAAGATGATTTTGGGACAGGAGTATTTAATGTAATGCCAATAACAAGTGACAATTGAGAAAATCAACAGTAGCTCCGTTTTGACGAATTAATAGTACCTTTTTAAGTTCTTCTGTAGCTGGGAGCAATCTTTTTCAGCGTCTTTCAACTTTTTAAGGGTTCCACTCGCCTCCTCTTTAGCACTGAAAAGTTCTCGTTCTAGTGCAGAGTTCTTTTCCTCTAATGCAGCCAAAGATTTCTAAAGTAATACAAATTTAATTTATTAACTGATTGTAAGTGGAAGGCACTGCTCTTTTAAACAGTTTTAGCAGTTATGAGGATCATAGTAGCTTAGTGGTTAATCTAGTTTTAACTACACCTTAGCAACTGGCCAGAGTGACTGCCAACCATACAATGAAAATATGGAAGAGACATTTAATTCTTCTACAGTAAAAGACAGCTGCACAGCATTCTAAATGTTTTTCTCAATTAATATTATTTTGAGTTATGCACGAACCCACAAACCCTTGAGAAAAGAACCAAACAAGAGTATTCATAACAGTAGAATAGTATTTGTAGCGAAGGGCTTGTCTTCATGTGAAACCAAAGTGCCAAAGAATCAAAGATGAGGAAAATTCCAAATTAGACTAAGAATAAATAAATACAGCATGCAAGTTATTCAGCACAAATTACATGAAGAAACACCAAACCAAGAATAAAAAAATACCCAATACCTTCAAGAATGCATTTTCATTTCTCAATTCCATAATTGCAGCTTCTTCTCTTACTATAGCAGTTTTTTCCTTCATTGTTAACTCCAGTTGCCTTTGTACCACAGCACTTTTGTTGATCTCATTAACTGTAGCCAGTCTAGCTGCATCTAGCTCAAGGCTCAAAGATTCTATAGTTTTTTGAAGTTTTGATATTTCCATCATCTTAGCTTCTTCAGATGAGATCTGCATAGAGACTCAATATATAAAGACTAGTGAACATTCCAAAGCACCAAGCAAACGAGGTGTTATTACATTAGCACAAGAAGCAGAAGTCTAACCCAAAATAAATTACAGAAACAAAGAGGTGATAGAATACAAATAGCAAAAACACCCTACTTGCATTCCAGCCTCTGCTTAGACAGATATCTAGAAACAATTCATGTAAGCTATGATACAAATAGTTTACTATTTGCATTGGGAGTAAACGCTGAATTTTGTAACACGAAGACCTTATCACTACAGTGCCTAACAGTAATCATGCATCCACAGGTGACAGTTTCACCTGTCCCAAGTCCGCTGTGCACTGAAAATGGATGTCGCATCAGTCCATATTTAAACATTACGAACTCCTAAAAGTTATTCATACTGGTCAAAATAGTCAAAGCTATTCTTCTTACGGTTGCCTTTGAATGAAGTAAAATGTGCAGTAAACTGCTTGGGTAGGAGAGAAAGTAAAACATGTCTTTTTACATTGACAGGTGTTCCTATTGTAATTTAAGAACAATAAGGTCCTCGTGTTACTAACAGAAACTACAGAGGTTCCTGTGATATTATCCTCTCAATTCAGCATGAGATTATTATTTCTTGTTCTTTTTTACAGGGGAAAAAATGAGAAAAAGAATTGGAGGGATGAGCAAGATCAAGAGAACAAATGGAAGTTTAAGAACGAGGAGGGGGGGGGGGAATATGTTAAGACAGCCCCCACCCCACACACACAAATAAGAGAGGATCCAAGTTAAAAAGTTATAGTAGGAAGAGCAGTACTCGCATTTTCTTCTCCAGCTGAAATCGCCATGTAACATCCTCCAACTGCTTCTCGAGCTTGCTTTTCGCTAGGCGCAATGCGCCAGCTTCATTAGCTTCCTGTAAAAAAGAAAAAGATACCAAATCTTCAGGAAGAAGAAAGTACTAAATATTCACAATACATTCAGTAATGAATCCTTAAGCTGATATAGATACGTGTAAAATGACACACACAACTTGCACATCTCCAAACCTAGGAAACTAAACATGTACATTGATTTGGATTATTATATTACATCTACTTCGACCAGAAGTTTTTTTATCACAATTCACGAGTATAGCTTTGTAATATGTATGCTGAAGTTATCATAGTTTGAGGTTTTGAGCATAATATGCCAACAAAAATTGTACTACTTTTCTGCAAGATTAAATCTCACTTAGTCAAAGAAAAAAAGTCCTGATAAGTCTTCAATTGTCAGAAGACAAACATCAAGACAAATGCTTTAACTTAATGTTACCATTTCATATATCAAAGCCAAAAATAAGTTACACTACAATTTTGATCAACATTATTTCACCTGTCTAAGCCTTCGGAGCTCTCTCCTAGCCAACTTCCGCCTCCAAAGGCACTGAATTGCAATAACTTTAAATTGGTAGTTGTGGAATAAAGACCGCACCTTGCACATTCTCCAATTAGCCTATGACATGATAGATTATTGAAGCGCATCACAAACATCTTCCTAAAAAACTTCAGTTTAATTGTATAAAGATTAAAGGCTTCCTGCGTTAATCAAGCACCAATAAACCAATATATAACCCTACAAATGGATTTTAGCACAACAGAAGCAGGTAACAGTCACATTAAAGTACAATTTCTTTAAGGATTAGTGACTTGCAATATAATTTCATATTTCACAAACAAATGAGAACAATGAAAATTCATTAATACAAAGCCACGACGAATGGCAATTTTCCAATATAAGAATAATAGAAAATTAATTGCAGTTCAAGTACTAATTTTGGAAGCCCCACTGAACTTCATAAGACAAGGCAAGACTGTCAAAAAAGTTACCTGAATTAAAATGGCAGCTTTGTTTTTCTTTTGATATAAGAAATTTTGCCTGCACGTGAAACCACGAATGCTCGACTGCATGACCAAAGTGGAAGCATACAGTTGCACATAGGAATGCCTCAAAATCCATCTCCGAACATATTTTTGTATGATTAAAGTGGCAGAGGCTTCTCGTAATGATGTGTACAAACAACGAGCAAGAAAGCCTGAAAATGCAGCAAACACAGAAGTGTTCAAGCAGCATGCGGTTAACTCATAATATAAACTCCCCACATTTATAAATAGTGATTACACTTGCATTGGCACGTAATTCAAGAAAATTTGATATTAGAGAAAGACAAGATGGGTTAGGGTGTGTAGGTTTATAGAATGCATTATAACCATTATTTCAAGAGAAGAGAACGGGGACAAGTAACATGCAACAACACAAAAAGGAAAGTGTAACCAAAACAGAGGAAGAGTATAAACTATCCTCAAATTGGGATGCCAATATCTTTTCAGTTGATCAAGCAAGTAAAAAAAGTATCCATGGAAACAAGTACTAAAAATGGATACAAAATACAAGAAATTTCACTCGTGTAAACACTGATATTTTTGCAAAACTGAAACAAGCACATTCAAGAAGGTATTCATGCAGACAAGAAGCTTAGCATTGATGGAACACATTTAAGACTTGAAAGATAAGACCTCTGCAAAATGACTGTAGAGCAATAGCAATAGCCCGGTGAAAAAGAAAGTCCCTGCGTACAAGATAAGTCCTCAGTCTTCTTTGTATACACTTTGCTGCAGCATCAAGGACCCCAGAACGACTTGAATCTAAAACACCAATCTGGCCGGCCCTAAGGAATACCTTCGTCTTTCCCAACTGCAAAGAGCAAAAAGAAACCACCATTCAAGGAACATTTAAAAGTATTAAATTCTCCACGTGGACAAACGAGAAAGCCAACCTGAAAATTATCAAGTTTGAGTTTCAGAAGAATCTTCTCCGTGATTGCCCTTTCATCAGAGCTACAGACAATCAAATTGGGAGTCAATAAATAGCAAATATGATGGAAACAAAAGAGAGGTTCCCCATTGAATGATTATTCAAAAGAGCCAGAAATAGAAGTGTATATAAAAACACGAGTTCTACACTTATTAGCAATACAATACAGCACATTCTAAATTCTATGGGTAAGAAACTTGTCACACTTATGTACTGGACACTAATATAAAGAGTGACAAGAGCTGCTGGCAATTTGGCATCAACAACAAATAATTATGCATAGAAAAGAAAACCACAAGATTAGCACTGGATAACATATTCACATCTAAGCAAAATAAAAAAGAATCCTATGTGAGCACTACTGATAAAGGATCAACACAACATCTGGGAAACCCAGCCAGCATTTTAATCTAAAACTTGAGTTTTAAACAGCATGACCAGAAGATGCTTTTTACAAAGATGATCTTATTTTGAACAAGAGGGTCTTATAATGTCCCCCTCTCCTCACCCCATCCACACACAAAAGACAATTAAGCAAAGAAATACAATATTGATAAACCATCAATCAGCAATCTAGCCACTACAGACAAGCCACTTTGCTTTGAATTTTCAGGAAATCTGAGAAGTTAGGGGTAGCAAAACGTAACGCATGAGATATAATATTCTGGAAAAATGAAGAATCATTGGGTCAATTAAGAGAACCAGTGAAGTGGTGAACCTACCACCCATCTAGCATATCTAGTGCAAGAATTCCAAATCGGTCCACAAATTCAGGATAAGTCCTTCTTGTTGGATAACCGGCCAAACTTATGCGCACAGCTTCCAAAACACCCTACACAAAACCATATCACATTCAGATGAAGATATAATCTTTAACGCATTTTAAACAAGTAGAGCTGTAGTTCTTTAGGAAATAAAAATTCTTGTGCACTAATTATATACTGACCCCACAACGCAGTTGATGTAAAACGCTTTGCTTTTCAAACTTCTGGGCGCGATTCAGAGAATTTGGCTTGACACAACGAATATAATGAGGTTCTGTTGAGCTGAGGGTTTCCATAAGAGCTTGAAGTTGTTGCTTTGGACAAAAATATTAAACAGAAAAATATAAGGTATACTTGGCATAATAATGAAAAGTTTAATTGCTGGCAACCCGTACAGTTATGATGACGGTTTCTTTTAAAAGTTTTAGCAGCACAACCAGTTAAAACACAACTATATTTTCCCCTGAGACACAGGGAAAAAAACCTCAACAATTTGGGGAAAAAAGGTATCACTACGATGCATGTTGTTTGTTACTTTAGGCCCGCCTGACACACCACAAACATATCATCATGAAATAAAGTTTACCTCACGCTTAAATAAAAAGAAACTGAAACCCTGTAGACACTTGGGATACAGGATACTCATCACCATTCATTATCAAGAAGATACTGACATACAAAGGACTACATGTGTTGGGAATTGGAATAAAAATGGAATGAAGTAATAATTTGCAGGTTTTCTACTCATTATTTTATCAGTGCTACAGGGAATTTCCAGGCGATTTCACCTTTTAGGGCAACTGACTCGCCAAGAAATTCATAAATAAAAAAAATGTTTGGGGTGCAGTTCTTTTCCATCCCATGTTCACAAAAAGGGAGGCAACTCAATGGAGCAAAAAATCAAAGAAAATCACTGTACATATCAAGCACAAACCTCCCATTTGGAAAGTTGTAACAACTATGTTCAAGTTTCTTTGATTTCTCAGATATTCTCACACAAGCCAGGACAACTGCTATTTCACCCAAGTGGAGATACAATCATATACTTTGCATAACATAAAACATTTAAATGCTAGATGTTAAAGAAAATCACTTCACAAGTCAACAAGAACCTCCCGGTGGCAAGTGGTGACATGTATGTTGAAAAAATTCTTTAAGTTATGACACGAGGGAGACCAAAATGCTAATTGGCCTTACCAGATATGTAACACGACACATTTAAAGCATTATTGAATTTTCTGAAGATGGAATAAATGTACATGAACAATTAGAGTTGTGTTAATGAGTTGAAAATCAAAGAAATCCGGGGAAAACAACATTTCAATAGTAATTGTTACTCTGTTGGGCCTTTCTCTAGCCTATCAGATCCCAAAAAAATTCTCAAACTTCAAACTTCAAAATCCTGTTCAGGGTATAATATATTGGTCATATAAAAGTGAGCTACTTGCTTCCCTTCCCCCCCACCCCACACAAAATTGATGAAAATAAACTGCAGCATAGTCCTTTTCCAATCAAAGTGTACGCAAAATGTTCTTTCCCGAACTATATATTGGAGACAGGAGCTCAGTGACTGCCAAATGCTATAAACACCAGCAATATTAGTGTTAAAGTCTATCCCACATCGGAAGTTGAATAGAAAAATAATCGGTATATAAGCTCTTGTATTGAACTAACTAATCGATTGGATTAAATCTTTCAATGTGGTTCAGCCCAAGTGTCTTATTTCCCAATCCAATGATCCATACCCCATCTTAAATTCTATCATGGTATCAGAGCAGGTCCGGTCCGTGTTCGATTATTCATGGTTCTTTGGATGTGGGTTTCGCAAAATGAGCTACCCGTTCATGGTTTGGGTTGAGTTGGTTATAAGAGAATGAGAAGTCACCACCCGTTGTATGGGCTAGCTAAAAGAGATTGAGATGCTATACCCGTTTGTCCAAGTGATAACTAGACCATGTTAGTTACCACTTGAGGGGGAGTGTTGGAGTTCCACATTAGAAAATAAAGAAGAATGTCACTAGCATATATAGAAAGGTGAAACCCTACCTACCAGCTTAAGCTTTTGGGTTAGAATAGTGAATCCCGACTTTATATGCAAGTGGTTAATTTTACCCAAAACCTTATCTGTTGTTCTTGGCCCGCGGGAATTTTATCATGGAATCGGAGCAGGTTTTGGCCCACCTCGTTTGTCAAGGTGTCTGTCTTGATGTTCATTCCTAGCGGCCCGTTTGTCTTTAGCCTAGTTGTCCGTATGGAGTATGTACCCAACAGTTGTGGCCCGTTTAACCCGATTGCTCGTCTGGAAGTCCATACCTAGCAGCTCGTGGTCCTTTAGGGCGCTAAAAAAAATCAAGGAGATGTGAATCCATTTGCAAGGTGTCAACCAGTTAGATTCAAAATCGACCGGTTGTCCACTTGAGGGGGAGTGTTAGAATCTATCCCACATCGGAAGTTGAATAGAAAAAAATCAGTATATAAGCTCTTGTGTTGAACGAACTAATCGATTGGATTCGATCTTTTGATGTGGTTCAGCCCAAGTGTCTTATTGCCCAATTCAATGATCCATACCCCATCTTAAATTCTATCAATCAAAAACTAATTGAATTGATTTTCACCAGCAAACTTTTAAAACTTAAGGAGTACCTAACACTCTAACAGTTTTCAAAGGTAGTTCATACCTTAAACCGAGATGCCACAGAAGAAAACTTGTATGAAGATCTTGAAGATTCTTCTCCAAGTGGGGGAAAGAGACCAGCAACAAATGAGCACTTTGAAGAGCATAATAAATGACGATGCTCTACAACAATGTAATCACGATTTTTATCTATAAATGACTCGGTCTTATATGTAACCTACAAAATACACATTGAGAATATGAGGGAACTTAGGCAAGAAAAATAATAAGATCTTCAAAATGCTAGTTACAACGTGCCTTGCCAGCATAATGAGAGAGGGTAAAATCTGTTTCTGAAAATTTTGCCCTTTCAAGTCGTGTATGGCCACGAAAATTCTGGAAAAGCTTGTTAGAAAATGTCTGGTGCGTTGATTTAGGAAACATGCTGCATTTAAAAAAATCAGTATAAGGATATGCAGGGAAAGAAACTAAGAGAGACAAACATGCACCAGTATAGAGAGAACATGTGAGGTGTACCAAGCTTCATCCAACAAAGCGATTATGCCTATTGGTTTCTGCAAAAAGTACATCTTTCTTAGAATGAGTGCAAAAGATGAGTAATTCTCTTAGAAAAAGGTCAACTGTGTACACCATCAGCAATATGGTGCAATAAAAACATGAAGTTTTGTTCTATATTGTTGTCATGAAAAACATTTTTAATTATCAAGTGGTAAGGTTGCAGTAATGTTATAGCTATTTCCCATTTTGCTAACTACAAATACAGGAAATAGCTCTTTAAACCCACTCTTGCATGAGTTGATTACATACAAACAACAAAATTGTTTATATTCTGATGGTAATTGAATAGAAACACAATTGTTTATATGATTTAGGCTGGGGGTCTCTTGGAAACAACCTCTCTACTACTTGGTACGGGTAACGTATGCGTCCCTCTCGAGACCCTATTTTTGTGGGATTTTACTAGATTTGTTGTTTGTAACTTACACTTGCATGAACACGACGAACAAAATCAATTTGAAATATAATACTCCCTCCATTCCCAATTTAAATTGTCTGTTTTGGTTTACGATGTTTAACTGAAGTTATTTTAAAATCATTTTATACGAAAAATGGTGTTGGATTAAAAAATAAAAATAAAAATGGTGAAAAGTCAAATGAGAAGTTAATTTTAGGACAGAGGGAGTACATATTTAAAATTACATCAAAAGATCTACAAAACTAGTGGTGACATGACTATATTATTTTATCAAATGACTAAAAAAAATAGGGAAAGAAAGTAAATGAAGTTTGACCATGTGAATAGTATAGACGCAAAATAAATTGGGACGGAGGGAGTATCAAATTGTAAGAAAGTTTAATTTACCATGAGGTCATGAACTTATTTTAATTCAAGTACGCTTAAAATGATGCATATTGTAGATTTGCCCCTGTTTCCAAAATGCAATAGATGTCATGCCAATTTGATGGTGAGGCATTTGCATGTTGTGACACAATTAATTGGAACACATGCACACACACCCGCGCAAACAGAGATGCATAACAGCAAACCCAGTGAAAGTCCCAACGAATTGGGCTTGGGAGGTTAAGCGTAAGCAGACAAACACACACACACACACAACAACAACAACAACAACAACATTAACCCTCAGTGCCTCTAATGCTCCTACCCATTGCGGATTTGCAGGGTAAGGGGGTCACATGTACGCAACCGGATCCCTATGTTTAAAACATAGAGCGGCTGTTTCGAGATAACCTTTGATGAGCGCTGAGAGTTGCATTGACTAACTGCTACTTCACTATTAAAAAAAAGCAGACAGTCTAAAGAGTCATTTTGCTTTATCCCATCATACCCCAAAGCCAAAACATAGTTCTACAATTCATTCACCAAAAAAGAAGTAATACTAAAATATAAACCTTCTCTATGAGATCCAAAACGTCTTGGTTGTCAATAAATTCTATGTAGCTCCAATTAATTTCTTCCTTCTGATATTCCTCTTGTTCCATTTTGAAAACATGCTGAAAATTCCAATAAAAAATACAACCAGATCAGAGAGGATGGCGCATATTGAAAGTGGCATGTCATATCAGCAAGAACAAAAGGCATCTACCCAGACCTCATTGAAATGTTGTTGAAGCTTTTCATTTGCAAAGTTGATGCAGAATTGTTCAAAGCTGTATCAAAAAATTCCAAGGAATCGCTCAGTACAGTGAGTACAAACAGATCTCAGTGAAACCTTAAAGTTGCATTATAAAAACATACTCCCTCAGTCCCCAAAAGAAATTCACACTTTTCTTTTTTACTCCCTCCCAAGATAAAATTCACATTGCTCTTCTTTCCTTTTAAAGAAATAAATGTGTCTCATAACATACTCTCTTTGAAACAATTTCCAACCATATACTTTTCATATGAGTAATGCTAGGGGTACACCAAAAGGTGTACCCCAAATGTACACCACCCTCCTTTCCTCCACACATTTTTATTTGATTTTTATTTACTTATTTTTTTAAAATTTTTTTGCCTTTTTTAGTGGACAAGGAGGGGGTGGGGGATATTTGGGGTACACCAAAGGTGTACCCCTAGCATTTTTCTTTTCATATTTCAACATTTTCATTAAAAACCCAGAAGTCAAACCATGAATTTCTTTTGGGGACAGAGGGAGTACATGAATATACATTTTGTGAAAAAACTGAAATCTGACTTTTAAGAGTCATTTAGGCTGAGAAATAAGTCCCAAAAACTTGTGGTTTTTTATTTGCATTTTCTGACTCCCTTTTTAATACTCCTATTCCATTAGGAAACTAGAAATCTTTTTCAAATACAAAGAGACCGTTTACTTTTTCTGCTTTCCAAATGTAGGACTCTGAAAACAAAATTACCTCCCCATTTTTAAATTTAGAAAACGATACTACAAACAACTTTCCAAAATAAAAAACATTTTCCAAAGTTTAAACCAGACAAGGCAAACTACGAGTCTACAACCACTCATGCATTCCACCAATAGACACCCAAAACAATTGGTGACCTCCAAGGTTCCGACAGGTAGTGATCCCCACCCCACTTCACCGACCCATAGTGATCCAGCCAACACTAGCAGAATATCTACCACCAATGACAATCACATAGCTACTACCATTGGTAACCATCAAAATCACCAAAAAAATGCAGCCACTATCAACGACTACCACTATAATTGTTGATGTAAACTACGAACACCACCACAGAGGTGCAGGCCACTGGCACCAACACCAGTTCACCACAGCATTCAACTGCCCATACCATTGTCGTCAACCACTGCCACCTCATAGGCAGTGGTTGATGACACCACACGTAATTATTTGAGATAGTAGAACTGTGTCTTGATAAATGTGTTTCCCAAACTTACTAAACAAAAACTTAAAGAGTTAAAAAGCTACAACAAGAAACCCAATTCTAGGAATTAGGATCTAGTGATGTACGCAACATTACCATGCAAAAACAGAGAGGTTGTTTCCATTAGACACCATGAATTGTTGAACTAAACCTACTTTGCTTAAAGCATTCAAATCTCATTCAACAAGAACAAACCTGTTTTGAACAAAGCATTCAAATCCATATATGTCAAGAACTCCAATTTGTATCCTCGAATCATGGTCTTGCCCTACGGATATGTTGATCTTCTCAACAAGCCTGAAACAAACTCACGTATCAAATTCTTTTTTCTGCTTGGCAAAGTAAATTTTGTCTGAAACCATTGAATGGTTGTTACACTGGGACAAAAGTTAACCTACCAGTCAAATAGTTGAGCATATATAGTTTTGGCTAAAGCATCTCTCCCTGCAGCAGCAGCAGCACAATCAAGGGCCTTAATAAGGACCCCTTCGTGAGTTTGAATTGATCGAGTACAAAGTGAAGTGACCAACAAATTCAAATCACACCTATATGTAAAATTGTCAAATAAATATTTAATCATTCTTAACTCAAGTCCAAAACTAAATAAATAAAAATAAATAAAAAATCTAAACCCAAGTCCAAAACCGATGGAGTGGTGATGGCATTATATAGCAATGAAAGACCATGAATGATCCAATAAACTAAATAAATAAATAAAATAAATAATAAAAATACAAAAAAAAACTTCCCCACGAAACACAGACGTACACAGAAGTAGAAGAATTTTCTATGAAAAAAAGAGCAGAAATAATCAATTTTGGAACTAAAGATTTCTGCCCCAATGGGATAAGTAATGTGGCTAATTACCTAATTACCTAATTGGCTGCCCCAATACCTAATTGGCTTCCACTTCAAAAAACATGAAATCCAGTATATTATAGCAATAGAATATTTTCTAATTGTATCCAAAGCCTGTGCCTATGAATATATTTTATGTTCTCAAACTTCAAATGCTGAAGTAATTCAAATAATGCCAACACCCCTAGATCATGACAAACGAACACTTCCAATAGCTTCGGATTGAAGTTCATAACAATAATAAAAACCACAACAACAACAATCATTACACTAAATGTAATAAAAATAATATTGTTATTGTTGTTGTTGGTATTGCTATCATTATTTTTAGATATTATTAGTATTATTATTACTATTATTAATTACGGAGTATATGACTACGAGAAGTGACTGGGCATGAAAAATATAAATAGTTATATCACCAGCCCCTCTAAAAGCAGGCACACTCAGGTTTCATTCTTATTTTGAAGATGTTAACCTGCAGGAACTGCAGTTGAAGTCTTTGCAACTTCACAATATCAAAAGTTACAATGCTGCAAGGGAGCAGCATATATGTTATGATGAGGGAGAAAACCCTACTTAATTCAAGGCAATGTCAGCAAACAAATATGATGACAGCACCCAAAAGGAGTTAAGATATGCCATTGTATGTTGTCAAAACTCAAAACCTTCAGCCGGCAATTCCTAATTATATCATATATTTAAGTTCTTCATCCAGAAATTTACTTGGTAAAAAATCAGAGAATGAGGAAAGAAGAAGATAGTAAAAGAGAATATAAGTTGGTAACTCAGCAATCGACACAAGAACACTTTGAAAAAAATGAAGGCAAGAGAAAAAAAACACTATAGGAAGTAAAATAACAAAGAAATAAAAGAAAACCTACATTAGTAGATTTGCAGCCATCCCCAGATGAAAATTAGACTTTGGGTCATTTATAGCTGATGAATCATGCTCTTTTCCTGGAGAAAAATCTATATTTCCAAGATGTAAAATTGCAGCTAATGTCCGAAATATTGCCTCCTGATTTAAAAAAAATGTGTCATCCTAAAAAATCTACACCACATACCACTGCACACTTAACCTGGAAATCTAATAATTTAAAAACCTGTTCCTCATTACTGATTCCAACAATATCCATTGCCCTCCTTGTCTTCACATATTCCTCGGCACTGCTTACTCCATCCAATTCATAGGTCTTACTCTGGTTCAAGTAGTGAAAATGGCTAGGATGGCTCAATTTATACTTTTCAGCATCCTGAAAAGACATTTCATCGTAATGATAGACTGATAGGTGTAAATGTCATTAATGGGAGTCTACGGAATAGAACATACACAATGAAGGTAACCACGTAGATTATTACTTCACAATAATTGCAGTTCAATAGTATCTGGCTAGACATCAAAGGAAACACTTTAAACACCTCTATCAAAAGTTTGAAGAAGCACATAGGTAGACAGAAAAACAGATTTCCAACAAAACTAGAAGGTAGGTTCTAATTGCAGAAGATAGAGACATCAGTACCACTCCAGATGCACATAACTGATAAAAGCAGTGATAATTTCTCTCGGGATCTGTTATCTGGACAACACGAGAACGCTCTAGAAGGTAGGTTCTAATTGCAGCGCCGGATATTCTACCATTTGCATCAAACTGGATCTCGACAAACTTGCCAAAACGGCTGTAGAGAATCGTGGAGCAGAAGTTAAGTATTAATGTATCAGCCAGGCAACAGGAATTATTCCAATTTCAAATAAATAAAAGTTTACTCCAAGGACTTTATTACCTTCCCTATTCATCCCCAAAAAAACTTAAAATTCCACACTCTAGTGACTCTACAATTCTACATTGTCTCATTCTCAAACTGAATTCAATCTCACTCCTATCACTCCATATAGGGGATGAGCAGAAGAAAGACAAAGCATCAATATATCACTATGCAAAAGAGGAAGATTGAGAAGGGTACAATAAGTTATAATAATACTCTGTTTTATTCTATTTGGCTGTCAGACTGTTACAATCTTGTGTGTAAAAAGCAGCCCGGTGCACAAAGCAACCCCGCTAAGCCAAGGTTCGAGGAAGGGGTGTGATGTAGGCAAACATCACGTTGCATTTTTGTGATATGAAATACAGGTAACTAAAAGCCATGTGTGCCAAATTCAGCTTACTTCTACCCCAAAGGATAGTCAACAACTGAAGCCTAAATAATAGTGTAAAGACACTTTCACCAGACCCTTATGGCTTCACATTTCAATATTTCATAATAGAGGACTTCACAAATCTTATGACCCCCATGACATAAAAACCCGTAATAACATGGAAGCTGAAAATAACTCTCATAATGAATAAAACACTAGAGAGAAAATAAGATCTTATGTCTCACACAAACAAGAATCTACTTGAATTCACAAAATATACCTTGAATTGTCATTTCTAACCGTGCGTGCATTTCCAAAGGCCTCCAGAAGTGGATTAGACTAAAATCAAGAGAGAGAAACATCAACATCATTTGAGTTCTAACACAAGAAAATTGACAAACTCTTTAAGCAACGGTCATAGTTAACCTTTTTGCAACACACGCACACACACACACACATATATATATATATCTGAGTGTGTGTGATACAGAACAATTGCTTGTAAACTACTCAAACACAATAACTGGCACTGTGATAACTAGATGCACTAGTAATGTTACCTCAAGAACTTGTTGTTCCACAGTACGCTCATTACCAGCAGCACGACCACCTACATATGTAAGATACTGCATGATCAATTTTGTTGTCTCTGTCTTGCCAGCTCCACTTTCCCCACTTACCAATATCGACTGGCTTTTGCCCTCAGACATCATAGCTCTGAGCCACAACAATTAAACAGACCAACCTACATCACCTCATCTTAAGCATAGTTGATGCTACTTAATCGCCAAAAGTATCACTTTAACTTGACTAACCTGTAAGATGCATCAGCCACAGCAAAAACATGAGGGCTAAGCTCGCCAAAGGGAGCTCCTTTATATTGCTCCATCATATGCATATTATATAGATGAGGAAGTTTCGTAAAGGGATTCACAGCAATTAGAATGCTTCCAGTGTAAGTCTATCATAGCAACGAAACAAGAATTACTTGAAAGGAGAGTCTCAGAGATTGGTTGCAAGTATTAAAATTTAGAACACAGAAGTGAAAGAATCTTGAAAATTTGTACTTTTATCAAAGTGGAAACGGAATCTTTTTACTTGAGTACTTGTAGTTCTTTTATAATTCTATTTCTATGTAAACACTTCACAAACCAACATACAATGCAATCAAAAAATAATGTGCAAATGGCCAACTATAAGCAGCCACCTGCAATAAATTGAATCATACAGACACAAAATAGAAAAGGGATGTGTGTAATTCATATATAGGCTGTAAAGAAAATAAGGAAATCCTATAATAAGAAATAAAAAACAAAACTACCAAATCAGTTGAGGAAATGGCAAATGAAAAAGTGAAACGCTACATTGTACAAAATTTTGTAGCAAGCTTTATTATTGCAACTCATGCGGCCAAACACTCTAGACAATTTGGCGGGTGGGTCTGTACAAACATTTCATTTCGGTTAAGTATATCAAGATATCGAACTAGCCACATATGGGAAATTTATTAGGTACATGAAAGCAACTCAAATGATAGCAAGTAATTAATTTAGTCATCTCCTAACAAGATGTCAACTTTAATTCTCGCGAGCCACCAACAGATAAACATTTAACTATTTTTCCCAACATTTCAACTCACACAAATGTATGCATCAAAGAAAATCCATGGCACGAAACAAACATCTCAACTCACATAGATTTCATTCAGAACATATCTCCTATAGAGATTGTGGAGAACTCCGGGCTCGTTCAAATAAGTCAATTTGGTCATATCATCCACTCCTCCATGGTCTTCCTCCACATCCCTAGGAAGCAATTTTTCCGGCAAAGCCAATGCCTAAAATTTTTTAACACAATATCAACCCACCTGAGCAATAACCTGAATTTCATACAATCAAAACCAAAATAACCCCCCAAAAAAGGAAAATCAGCTTCTTCACTCACTTTCTTCCCATCTTCAGTAAGAAGCTGAACTTGCTTGCCGATAATGGCGGTCACCTCGGCAGCAGCCCAAGACGAAGCCTTGTCTTCGACCCAAACCTTCGAGCCTTTCCTGAGCGTCATCTCCTTTCAGCTCTGCATCAATCCGAATCGAGTGAGTAAAAAACTCCCAGCTCTGCAGCTCTACAGGTGTGGAATTCAAAATTCAGACTTTTAGCTTTCGAATTCAAATTGGAAAGCCCTAGAGAGAGAAAGTCCGGTATGTACGGAGTGATTTTTTAATGAGGAGAGAGAGAAGAGAGAGAGAAATGAAGAAAGAGACAAGTTTGTCCAGCTTCCCGCCCTAAGCACAACAGTAGAGTTCATAAAAAGCAAAACTATGCGTTAGATTTAAACTTTTAATATTTTAAAATTAATTTATTATTAAAATTTTATATTAAAGACTTCCTCTGTCCACAAATAAACTTTACATTGCGCGTTACGATGTTTGACTGAAATTATTTTCAAATCATTTTATATGAAAAATGGTGTAGAATTAAAAATTAAAAATTACATATTAAAAAACTATATCAAAAGATCTGCAAAACTAGAGGTGACATGACTATATTATTTTATCAAATAGGTGACGAAAATAGGCCAACAAAGTGAATAAAGTTTGACCGTATGAATAGTGAATGTAAAGTTTATTTGTGGACGGAGGGAGTATTAGCGTTACTCGAAAATGTTGTTCTCAAGTAGGGATGGCAACGGGTCGGATTCGGTCGGGTTTGAGTATATTGAAACCCGACCCGACTTAGGTCAGTTTGATTTTGGCGGGTCGGTTTCGGATAGTTATTTTTTCGAATTCGGTTCAAGATACGATCGGATCGGTTGCGGTCAAATTCGGGTTTGAATACTAATAAAAGTATTCATGAAAATTTTAAGATTGAATTTCATTATAAATTTAAAATTTTAAAGAGGACTATAAATTTAAGATATTAACAAAAATAATTATGACCCTTAAAAAAATACTCCGTAAATAGTAAGTTTCAAATAATAATAGACGAATTATAAAGAAAATAACATATGTAAGACACACAAGATTAAACCAAAATAAAAATGAAACACAAAAATGCAATAAGTTTTAAAACATTAAAAATATGTACATCAAAAATACATAAAATATAGGAATTTAGGGTTTTAATAACTTATTAAAAGTCGGGTACATGTCGGGTCGGGTCGGGTACAAGTCGGGTCGGCCAAATATACTAACCCAAACCCGACCCGACAAAAGTCGGGTTCGATTTAAATTTTTTCAGGTCGGTTTCGAATATTACAAGCTCCGATCCGGTCGGTAAAAGTTGGATTCGGGTAGAATTGTCATCCCTATTCTCAAGTGAGACCTTCATCACATGATACATTTTGAAACAAAATTTAACTCGTGTCAATATAAAATTTGATTCAAACTTTGCAAAATTATATTCTTTTTTCAATTTTTAATTGAGTGCCATTTAATTTAAACTTGGGGAAAAACTGAAGTAAGACTAAAACATGGGGAAAGAATCAAAATATGACTCACATATTTTATCTTCAAAATAATATGATTCGCATATTTTATCTCTGGAGATGGTTCTGATTCATTTTCGATCTTTAACTACCCCGGTTGTGAGTATACTAAACATGCGATGCGATACATAACCGGAGATTTATATATTCTTGTTAATTGTCCGAAGATGAAACCATTTTATTGGTAAGATATTTTCATTAGGACTCCTTCATTGTTGTTAATTTAAGTCACGCCAATTGGAACAAATTTGTTACAAGAGAGGACGTCTCTATCATTGGCACGGGTTACATTTCTGTGCCATACAGCTTAGAGCTTTGAAATTGGCTGCATTTCGTATCCGTGCCAAACTCCGTGCCTTATAGTTTAGTCACGGATACTTAAAACTCGTGTCAAATTCCGTGCCAATATTGCAATTTTTTTGTAGTGTTCATGGTAGAAGTAAATGAAAGAGTAAAATGCAATAATGGCCCTTTTTACCTTTTTTCACAAAAAAATTATCTTATACATTTTTCAAATTTGGAGGTTAACCAGAGTAAGTACTCCCTCCCACACCATTCCTCTAATAACAAGATTTCAACCATGTCGAAACTGCACCATTCCTCTAATAACAAGAGCATATCGAAACTGCACCCTCCCTCCCACACCATTCTTCTAATAACAAGATTTCAACCATGTTAAACTTACACCAAAAATTGTACTTCAAGATTACACCAAATATATATATATATATATATATATATATATATATATATATATATATATATATATATATATATATATATATATATATATATATATATATATATATATATAAATATATGCACTAACATTTTGATAATTCACAGTGACACAAAATGACAGTGCATTAACAAACATATGCACTAATATTTTGTGTCTGTGTGGACTATCACTCTAGTATTACACTGACATAAAATAAAGGTGCACACCTGCATTGTACAAAATGCGGTACAAATAACTTAATCCATAAAATTTTTGTTTTCAAATTCGGGCAACAAATATATGTATTCTAAGGGCAACCGCATTGGATGGAGAAGTAAAGGGAGGACTACTCTCACTTCTCGCCTCCACATCATCGTTTGGAGATCCAATACACAATTTCTCTTTTACTCCTCCCTATCTCTTACATCAAAAGGACTACTAAAATATTACTCCGTATTTATTATATTACTTATATGCTTTTTAGTTTGTATAAATTGGCTAAAAATAAAATTATCTAACGCATTCAGAAGAATAAATACTCGTACTAATTAAATTATAATTTTTTGAAAAAAACAATGTAAAAATCATTTATTTTATCTCGTATTCCATGTTAAATTGTTAATGGTACTAGCAGGGCCGTCCGGACTAGGGCCATGATTGTAAGGGGCTCAATTATATTTTAATATTATATGTATGTATATAAGAAGCCCAGCACCCAGCCCAATATGTCAAAAGCCCATCTCATTAGCCGCCCATCCCCCTTCATAGTTTCGTAAACAACTAACGCGAGGCGCAGAAGCTGGAGACGAAGGGGGTGTTTGTTTTTTCTGCAGGAAAAGGTCTGCAGTCTGCGGACCACTACTGTAGACATCTGCAGGAGAAGTGGTGGACCGAAGGTCTGCGGTCTGCAAGAAGAAGACTGTTTGTTTTTTAATGTCTGTAGACTGCTATATAAATTAATGGTGGTAGTGTACGGTGGTGGTGTGTGGACGATTGTGGTGGNGGAGAAGATGTTAGAAGACATAGGTTAATGTCTTCTCCAAGAAGATGCCAGGAAGACCTTCTTGAGTGAAATGTCTTCCAAAAAACAAACAATCTGCAGAGCTCAACATCTGCGCGCGTCTGCGCGGCGCAGACAAAAGAGGCCAGAAGCTCTTCTGGCCAAAAAACAAACACCCCCGAAGCCTACTGCCCAAACCGAATCGGAAAGAGAGTGCCGACTGCTGAGAACGCCGGCCGCCGGTAGATAGACGCCGCCGCCGCTTCCGCCAGACGCCGCTACACCCTCCAGGTGTTCTGTATTCACTATCTTTCCAATTTAGTAATTTTTTTCTAATTTTTCAATTTATTAATTTTTAGTTTGAAATCTTTTCTGATTGCTATGAAATATGAATGAATTAATGGTTCCATATATTCTTTATTTGATTTGGATGAATTGATTTTAATTTATGATATATATAAAAAAACTGAAAATTGAAAGCTGAAATTTATTCAGAGGTAAATCATACAATTTCCAAAGATTTCAGGGATAAGCGGGGCACTTCTTCTATTTTTAATAAAGCTGTTTTGGTGTTCAAAAAAAATTGCATAATCAGAGTAAAAGAAGCATATACAATCTCACACCGGTTTATATCAACCTTTTCTTTTCCTTTAATAAATGGTCCTCATAAATGGCCAATTGCTGAGATCAGTATAGGATTTCTGTTCTTCTCCTCTCTTCTTTCTTGTATCAATGAGAGCTCTAGGAACGACAAATCGATCTTGGTTCTCTCATAGATACAAGAAAGGGAGGGGAGAGGCGAGCTCTAGTAACGACAAATCGATCTTGGTTCTCTCATAGATACAAGAAAGGGAGGGGAGAGGCGATGTTCGTTTTTTTTTGCAAGTGTTGTGATAATACCTATGCCCTTTCTTTTATGAACGATGGCTCTACCCCTCGATCATGGTTCAATCACAGGCGACCCTCAAAAAGACATTTTTAAGAGTTTTTGGGTTACTTCTGGTTTGCCTTATGCTCCAAATCCATCTAAGTAATCATTTGATCGAGAAAGGCATGGAGAATTGGGGATCAAAGCAGAAACACTATTACAACTTTACTTTATTTTAAGATTAAATATATTTTTAGCCCTTTTAAAATATACTTCTTCCGTTCTTTAAAACTCTTCTTCTTTCATTTTTTTCAATTCCCTAAAACACTTCCTTTTTCTATTAAAAAACCACTTTTACCCCTACTTTTTCATATCATACCTATCACATCATACTTTTTCACTTATAACCAAACTATTATATCTTACTTTTACTCATCACATCAGGGGCAAAATTGAGAAGTCAACCAAAATTACAATTTTCTTTAATCTACATGAGAAATCAGGTTCCAACTGCAATGCCCAATTTTCCCGCCAGATTTCTTCATCCAATGGCTATTAATAAATTGGTACACATGGCAGTTACACAGAAAATTTCACTCCAAAAACATTTACAATCACTTGTGGACAAAAAAATACCCACGGTATAAAATTCAGTACATGGCATCTCATCTACTGTATAAAACCAAACCAAGTAGTCCATAAATGTGAGGGAAATTCCAAACCAAAAGGCTTCACATGAGAAGAAAGCCCTGAAACGAAAACATTCAGAATCTCGGAAGAAGAAGGAAAAAATGCATATCCAGAAATGGACATTATAGTCAACCTGAATTCAATTTGTTCTACGAATTTATTTGGGTTTAATGAGTGTGTGTGTGTGATCTACACTCTTCGTATGAAAAAATTGAATTATACAATTAAAAGTTTAAATAAAGATACCACAGGAATTTTATATATATATATATATATATAATAAATACATCTCTAAAGATCTAAAGAATATATAGATCCCGTAATCTAAATTGAAAGATATATTTATGCGATGAACAAAAAACAATAAATTACACGAAACAAAACTGGATTCGTTTAGT